TGCTGTCTCTCCCCTCTCCATCTCTCCTGCTGTCTCTCCCCTCTCCATCTCTCCTCCTGTCCCTCTCCTCTTGCAGAGTTGAGATCTGCCTGGGGGAGTAGTTCCTGCTGTGAGCTTTTTCACACATGACTAGAGCCTCTCAATATGCCCGGTCAGCACAAAGCAGAGCCCATTGATCGCTGTGCACTGACACTGCCAGCGGAGGGGGCTACACCCTCCCCCTGCTAACCCTTTATCTCTAACACAGGGGTCGGTCAGTACGCAGATACAGTTAGACAGATATTGGACACTGATACAATCTCCCTGTCTAAATATTTGTTTGTCCATGCCAGTCTGTTTATCTCTCGGTTTATCACAAGTGAAGGGACAGTGTTGTTTACTCCTGTCCCATTCCGTAGTCTTTAATTCTCTTCGTACGGATGAGCTCAGCTCCTGTCGGGAAACGCTGTCGGCCATGGTGTGGGACATCTTCCAGCCGACACGCAGACACGCAGAAGCAGACAGAAAGTCCCCCCCCAAAAAAACCCTCTTGGCCTCTGGTCTCAACCAGCAGCTCAGGGATCTGAAGATCTCCTGTCAGCTTCAACATCACGCCCGAGACGGGGCCTTTCGGGTTTTCGGAGGTCTTGGCTTCTCTTTGTGGGGCCTGAAGGTAGTCAGTCAGCCGGGAATCTGGTCACGCCTCTGTGAACAAGATCCCGGAGAAGAAAAACGACCTCAGGCCACGCTAAAAAATTCAGAGTGGTGCGATCGGAGGGGGCCGTTGGTTCCCTGCCGACCCGCCCTCCTCACCGGCACCGGCACCGGCACCGGCAGCCCCCTAATGACACTCTCTTTCCCTAGCCATGTAGATGGGCTCTGTGTCACGGGCTGCCACTGCGTTGCTTAGCGCCGAGAGCCTGTGAAGCTGAAGTCTCCCGGAGGAGACAATTCTGATCCCTGCCGGCCCTCCTGGAGGGGGCGGCCTCCGTCCTCTGCCCCTGCCCCGCGCCGCCTGGCGTCACGGTGAAACCCTGCGGAGTCCGGCGCCCCCTAACGACACTGGCGCATCATCCACTGCTGGTGGCGGAGGGGAGTCCCCATTGCCTTCACGGGTGACCCCATGATTCCATGCATATGTGGCACCAGGCAGTTTAAACCTGCCCTCAAACTGCAGGAAATACTTGCATGAATTCAGCATCACAGAAATGCATATCGCCACTTCATGACCAGTCACCGCCAACGCACCCTGCCGATCCTGCCATCAATCAGACCCGGTGAACAGCTGATCAATATTACCGATTGGCTGGGGAGGCCGTTCCGAATACAGGATGACCAGCAGTCCCCTTTCATCATATTAGAAAACAAAACTGATAATAAACACAGTAGCTGCAATAAAAAATGTTCTGAATGAACCATACAGTCAAAATACATTTTAATATCTGCTCTTCATTTAATTCCTTATTTCCCTTAGAACTTATTTTGGCTAGATTTGAAACTTATCCGCGTGCTGTGAGAGAATAGAGATGAAATGTGATCTAGAGCAGAAAACTTTAAAATCAGACTTCCTTTCCCAAGACGTTTCTTCGGCATGCCAGTCTAGTTACCAAAACACTTTTTTAATATTTTATGTTAATTTTTAATCCTCGGTTGGTGTTATTGTTCTTAATTATACCTCTGCGTGAGACCAGTTAAATAAATTATTGGATCTTGTGATTAGCCCTGCTGCAGGTGGGACTGATTAAGTTTGGTTCTGTGGGAGTTTAGAGTTCTGAGATTGGATTAAGCCACAGTCTGTTGACAGAAAGGCCAGCTTTCAGTGAACTTATTAGTAAAATATATCGTAAGTGAAATTACTCTTGTAATTAACCTGTTTTACCGATTCAGCATGGCCAGGGATGAGGCCAAAAGATTGGGGGATTAAAGAGGAAGAGTTTAGCAAAAAAGGGCAGTGCCATTTTTTAATTGGGCAAGGTTAGATTAATAGGGCAGGACCCATAGACTGAAGAGTTTTTGAGTAGAGTCAACTCAGTGTTTCGAGCAAAACAGTGCAGGTGAATCTTTTCAGATTGGTGGGGTTAAGCAAAGGGACCCGCGCCATTGTTCCTGACACTCAGTGAAATTCGCACAGCCTGGTAGCTGCCCCTGATTGTCAGAGTTTGCTCCTGGGAGAAAGGGTGCAGAAGAAGCAGTCAGACTCCCACTGCAAAGCAATCTGATATATTCTAGGTCTTAGCCACTGCAAGAGTCTGCTGTGTGTAATAGAAGCTGACTCCAGGTCCTGGATGCATCACTGCCGTTAACTCACTCGGAGTAAATGTGCACAGACAGGCCTGTGGAGTTTGAATAAACGAGATATATGGGGTGCACCCTGTCAGCTTGCTTTTCTGCTTCATCGGTGCAATTTATTCAAGAGACCTTGGGAGGGATTGAACTGCTGTGTAGATGGAATCGGGAGTGTGCACTCCTGCAATTAAGACAGAAAATCAATTTAATCAAGGCAGGTTGCCTTCCGAACCCGGCCATACCAGCAACTGTCCAGGTGTCGGCTCTGAGCAGGCGTTGCCTGAGATGTGCCGACTGCGTTCTGGACCAGAACATTCGGGCCGTGCACACCAACAAGCGCACACGCTCACGCACACTGTGAGACAGCCTCACACGGACACACACACTGATGGAGAGACGCCCACGCGCTGACAGATACACGGACACGCAGGTACTGTAGGTTCACACACGCTGATGGCGAAATGCACACGGACAGACACACAGTCAGGTGTGCGCGCGCACACACACGCAGAGAAACATGCTGTACGCACACAGACACACGTACACACCGATGGACGCACGCACACACACCGACAGACACGCAGCAGTGCATCGCCAGACCGAGCAGGCGCAGGAGCAGGAGCCATTACTGAAGACACTCGCGGATCGCTCCCTTGCTCTCGTTCTCCCTCGGGGCGCCCGCACTCGAGAAGCCCTTCATTCCAAAACCACCTCACGACGGCTGAACCTAAAATCTCCCTGTCCGGTCTCATCGCACCTCTGTCCCGCGCTGGCGGAGGAGGGCGAGGGGCTGGGAGCTCGATTTCGCCCCGATCTCTGTGGCTCCCTGTGATCTATGTGCTTGGTGCTTCTGCCGCGTTCCTATCTGCTCCCGGGATCAGAAACAAGAAAGCAGCTCTCTGGCTTATCAAGTAGAATTAATATTGTTGCTTAGCTTGCACTGATTGTCAGTGATGCCTCTTCTGCCTTTGGGTCTCCCCTCCCTGCTGGATCAGCGGTTCATGCCGAACGCCTTCAGCCTTGGAACTGTACGTACCCCATCCAGAGAGCTGGCGAGCAGCTCTTGTCTCGCTTCTGGTTCCACACGCACAGAGGTGAAGAGGCCAGCAGCTCTCACCCAGAAATGTTTTTTTTTGTGCGTGTGTTGCACAAAACGGAGGAGGCACAGACACAGAAGGGGGTCATCCCAACGCAGGCCTGTGAAGAGCTGTGCGGGTCAGGGACTGGCGTGCGTCTGTGTGCTTGTGTGTCAGTGTGTGAGCGAGTGAGGGATGTGTGCGAGTGTGTCAGTGCGAGAGTGTGTCAGTGACCCCCTGTGTGTGTGTGTGCCTTGTGCACGTGGGATTTCCGGATTTCAAGTTAGACGTGTTGTGATTTCGCTGGATCGCGGCAGACACTAACCAGAGTCTTGCGTCTCTCCCTGGCAGGGCCGGAGAGCGAGAGAGGCCGCCCAGCGCCGTTCTTCCGCCAGCATGCCGGGCCCCTGCCCTTCCCCCCCACGTCCCCGCCCCCATCCCCGCCTGGTGCTGCCCCCAGCCACACTCCTTCCCCTCCTCCTACTCGCCCTCACCCAGCTCAGCGGTGCCAGCGAGCCCCCGAGCGCCGGGGCCAGCGGCACGGCCAACTGCTCGGGCAGCTCCGTCTGCTCTGAGGGCGTGGTGCTGCCCATCTGGAACCCCCAGAACCCCTCGGTGGGCGACAAGGTGGCGCGGGCCATCGTGTACTTCGTGGCGCTCATCTACATGTTCCTGGGCATGTCCATCATCGCCGACCGCTTCATGTCCTCCATCGAGGTCATCACCTCGCAGGAGAAGGAGATCACCATCAAGAAGCCCAACGGGGAGACCACCACCACCACCGTGCGCATCTGGAACGAGACCGTCTCCAACCTGACCCTCATGGCACTGGGCTCCTCCGCCCCCGAGATCCTGCTCTCCGTCATCGAGGTGTGCGGGCACAAGTTCCACGCCGGCGACCTGGGCCCCAGCACCATCGTGGGCAGCGCCGCCTTCAACATGTTCGTGATCATCGCCATCTGCGTCTACGTGGTGCCCGAGGGCGAGACCCGCAAGATCAAGCACCTGCGCGTCTTCTTCGTGACGGCCGCCTGGAGCATCTTCGCCTACATCTGGCTCTACCTCATCCTGGCCGTCGTCTCGCCGGGCGTGGTGGAGGTCTGGGAGGCCGTGCTGACCTTCCTGTTCTTCCCGCTCTGCGTGGTGCAGGCCTGGATCGCCGACCGCCGCCTGCTCTTCTACAAGTACGTGCAGAAGCGCTACCGCGCCGACAAGCACCGCGGCATCATCATCGAGACGGAGGGGGACGGCGCCGGCGGCGGCGGGGGCCCCTTCACCAAGATGGACCTGGAGATGGACGGGCGGGCGGTCAACTCGCACCACAAGGAGGCGCTGGACGGCATGCTGGGCCCGGCGGAGGAGGGCGGCGGGGGCCGGGACCAGGAGGACGAGGCGCGGCGGGACATGGCGCGCACCCTGAAGGAGCTGAAGCAGAAGCACCCGGAGAAGGACATGGAGCAGCTGATCGAGATGGCCAACTACCAGGTGCTGGTCCAGCAGCAGAAGAGCCGGGCCTTCTACCGCATCCAGGCCACCAGGATGATGATCGGCGCCGGCAACATCCTGAAGAAGCACGCGGCCGACCAGGCGCGGAAGGTGGTGAGCTGCCACGAGGCGCGCGCCGACGAGGACGACCTGCAGACCATCCGCGTGCAGTTCGAGCCCTCGCACTACCAGTGCTTCGAGAACTGCGGCTCGCTCACGCTGGCCGTGGCGCGGCGCGGCGGCGACGACGGCTGCACGGTGAAGGTGGACTACCGCACGGAGGACGGCACCGCCAACGCCGGCTCGGACTACGAGTTCGCCGAGGGCACCCTGGTCTTCAAGCCCGGCGAGACGCTCAAGGAGCTGACGGTGGGCATCATCGACGACGACATCTTCGAGGAGGACGAGTACTTCCACGTCCACCTCAGCAACGTGCGGGTGGTGTGGCCGGACGGCGGCCCGGAGCCCGGCGCCCCGCCGCCGCCGCCCAAGGCCGCCCTGGGTGCCGCCCACAGCGCCACCGTCACCATCTTCGACGACGACCACGCCGGCATCTTCACCTTCGAGAGCGAGGGCACGCGGGTGAGCGAGAGCGTGGGCACCATGCAGGTGAAGGTCCAGCGCACCTCGGGCGCCCGCGGCACCGTGGTGGTGCCGTACCGCACCGTCGAGGGCACGGCCAAGGGCGGGGAGGACTACGAGGAGGCCGCCGGCAAGCTGGAGTTCCTCAACGACGAGACCATGTGAGTACGCCCGTCCTGGGAGGACGCCGCGCCCGTTATCGGGGTGCTTTTTCTGGGGAGGTGACAGAGGCTGGAGCAGCTCAGAAGAACAGGGGCGGGGAGGGATAGCCTTTGACTGATTTAAGGTGGGGGGGGGGTCCAATCGGAATCCCATTGCATCGCTGCACGGTCCGCTCCTGGTTTCACAGTGTCGTTTTTGCAGCATCTTTAAAGCCTGAAGCGGCTTGGGTTGCTACGGAAGGGGAGCCTGAAGGATGGGCTGCAGTGCCCCAGGGTTTTGGGGGCCTGTGAAAGCTGCACACTCCTGGGAGGGGTGCGGGGGGGCGCGGCCGGGGCAGAGAGAGAGAAAGGGCTTGCAGGCGGTCGCTCGTGAACACGGGGGTCAGGGGGTTCGTCAGGAGGGAGAAAGGAGGAAGGAGGAGATTCCAGAAACTGCTCCGCAGGTTCGGTCGATATTCCCCCGCAGGAGTGGAGATGGCTGTGCTGGAATTCTTAAGCAGGCTGTGTCCTTGCGGTCGATATCCCATCGGCAGGCGGGGGGAGCGATTAGCCTTGCCTGTCTCGGCCGTGAGAGGGGGGTGGGGGGGGCACTGTGTGAACGCCTGAGCAAATCCTGATTGCATTTCATTTCTTCTGGAAGAAAGCAGTGGCTGTGTCTGCCTGCTGCTGGCCGGCTCAGTCATGGGCAGGGGGAGAGAGACCAGGCAGTGGAGCATTCTGGGGGGTGGGGGGGAGGTAGAGAATATTGCTTGCTGGTATTTGTAGTTCCATGAGAAAGCAATGCCCTTAGGGAAAGATTTTAACTGGCCCCGCTTTGACCAGAAAGATTACTAACGAGAGAGAGGCTTTTTGGAAGAGTCTCAGCAGTAGGGCTATGCAGCCAGTTCCACACTCCCACAGCTCTGGGTGTAAAGACGCGTTTCCCAGTTTCGTTCCTAAATGCCCTCCTTTCATTGCGACCTCGGCCCTGCTCGTGATTTAGAGAGACCGGTCGGCGTTGCTGTCTTGCAGCGCTGGGGCCCTGAGCTTCATCACCTGGGGTGCTGTCCGTGTGGAGTCTGTACGTTCGCCCCGTGTTTGAGTGGGTCTCCTCCCACAGTCCAGAGACACGCTGGTGGGTTAATGGGCTTCTGGGAAAACCGGCCCTGGTGTGAGCGTGTGTGTTTGTGTGTGTCCTGCCTTGTGCCCGTTCCTTGCCAGGATAGGCTCCATCTCCCCGGTGACCCTGCACGGGATGAAGTGGGTTAGAAAGCTGATGGATGGATGGAAACCTAGATTGTTGTTGTCCAGGTGTTACAGTGCTGACAGTCCTACTGCACAATTTCATCCTCTTCCTTCTCTCTTCCACTGCCTGTCTCGCTCCTGTTCCTGCCTCTACATTCGACGTGCGTTGCTGCCATTGACACACTGAACACGTCTCTTACACCCTACTGAGCAGAATGATCGCCGCTCTTTAACGCCGCCCTGCCCCCCCCTTCCAAAGGGCTCAGGATCGCTTTGTCTATTTTTAGAAGTCTCTTACCAAGCTAATCTCCCGTGCCACCTCAGAGCTGGAGATAAGACTACAGCAGTCACAGCGCTGGCCTCCGAAGCCCCTAGCGTCACCCAGGTTCCCTGCCCGGCCTCAGTTCTCAGTCATCCCCAGCTCTTACTGTATGGAAACAGCAAAGACGTGTTGGTTCCCCGCGTGCTCGTGATCTGGGAACCCGGATCCGTGCGCCGGCACCAGCCCGAACGGCCTTCTGCCTTCTCGCAGGCCTTGGAACCCCCCGTCCCCCGCGCGGAGTCTGGAGCCCCGGGCCGCACGAGCCAGTGGCTGTGGGGGAGTGCACCACGATCCCGGAGCATAGCAGTCTGATCCACTCCGGGTTTTATGGGGTGCCCAGCAGGCTCCTGTTACACGACGGCCTGGTCCTTTCCAGATTCTACGACCCGCGGGGCCACTGGACATGTTGTGCTGATAAAGAGGCAGAAAAGTACATATTTTGCACATTTTTCATGTTAAAATGAGTCTCGTATTCTGAAGGTATAGGTACATTACACTATACCTTCTACATTAATGCCTACATACGGACAGACAGGCAGTTGTCCTGCCAGGAGCGCCTCTCTGGGTAGAGTGTCTAAGTTAAGAGCCTCCGGTTGCTAGGGGTTGTGGGAATGAATATTAATTAGCTCTGGTCATTGCACAGCGCTGAAAAACATTGTGCTAATAAAGGCAAAACAGCTGTTCATGGCTGCTGGCTTTGGCCCTGTATGCGAAAAAAGAGCCGAATTGGATGTTTCCTCAGATGGCTCAGGCTAATTAGTATTCTTCCCCGCGACGGACAGACGGATTCCCCGCTGCCCATGCTGCACCTGCGCCGTGGACAGGTGAACGGTTTCAGCCTGTCGGCGGTCCGGTCTTGTGACCGGAGCCGCGCAGGAGGAGGCGGCGGCAGGCGGCCGGGCCGGTATTGTGGCTGCGGGCCGTGGGTGAGAGGCAGGACCCTTGGAGAGTGTGTCTGGCCCTCCTCCCTGCTGCACATGTCCGGCACTTCAAAGTGCAAAAGCCGCTGCAGGAGGTTTTTCACTGACTGGTAAGGGCGATGGTCAACACCAAGGTCAACACCCTCGCCAACCCCCCGTTTAACAGTGTTATCACTCCGGCTCCCAGTGCGCAGCAGTCTGATCC